AAATGAATCCAGGATGCGCTCATTCTCAAAATCTTCTCTGTACATGAATTTTTTTTTTATGCCTTGATGAGCATTGAAATAGAAGTTAACATACATAATGCTTTAAAATAAAAATTATTCCAATGTCACTCAATTTTAAAAGAACTTGGGTCCAAGTCACCAGTTTAAATTTAAGGTGTCGATGTTTTTTAGTAACGCTCTCTTAGTGTCTGCCTTCTCCCACTGGCTGTGGACTTGCAAGTAGTCATGATGGCTCATGTAACATGTGATTATAGATTGAACCTCAAGACCAACACAGCTCAGCTGATTACAGCCTTTCCACAAAGAAATCAAATCTACAGGAACTCGCAATAGAAATTACAGTGTGACTTATTTCTAGTCACGAGAGTCGAGTCAACTCTACTGAAGTGAGTCAGTTCCCTCCACTGTACTGCTGTCTGAACTTTGGGTTTTCCCCCGTCAACACTCGCTTTAACCTCTGGCTACAACAGCTTGGGACAGATGTCAATTAACCTGTGCGAATCCAACAGGCACGCAAACACATTTTATTTAAGGTAAAAATTACATTTAAAAAAAAGACAGAAAGGATGAAGCATCAGGGGTGTTTGTATCTCAGGAGGTAGAGCAGGTGTTCAATCCCCGGCTGCTCCAGTCTGCATGTCAAACATCCTCGGGCAAGACGCATCCATCGAAGTACAAATGTGTGTGAATGTGCGACGGAGAGCACTTACATAGTAAAAAAAAAAGAAAAAGAAAAAGTACTTGTATGAATGGGTGAATGAGGCGAGTTGCATAAAGTCCTTTGAGTTCTCAAATACAGTAGACACGCGCTATATAAGAACCACTCCATGTACAGTAGATTTTTACTGTTCAGTATTAGTCACAGTTAGGCTTTCTAAGAAACGCCACGTGAAAGGGAAACGCTGCAGAGCACTTTTGCTATGCACCGCTGCTACGTCAGTAAAATTTTAACACAACTTTATAGTGTTAAAGTATTTTTTTGTTCTTTTTGCTGTGTCTCTATTATAAAGTTTGTGCACACACAGTCTTACCACAGGAGGGTACTGTTTGCTAAAGAACAAGCAGTGATAGCAAAGAACATTAAATGCAAAGGCTCCTTTAGCTGTTTACCTGAGGGTATTATAGTTTGTATGTATGGAAATTAACGTGCTAAAAATTGTTGGAACCTGATCCTGATCGCTTTTGAATGTAAACTAATAGGAAAATACTAATGAAACTTTATTCTTCAAAAAAATGCACAAAGATTCATTCCTTGTCCCAGCCTATATTGGTTGTTGAACTGAAAGCATGGTTCCGTTATTTTCTTTCACTCGATATTAGTGAATATTAGGGAAATTAGATGTACAATGTACCTTCATTTGACCTGTAATGTTTATGCCATTGCTTCAAAAACTATATTTCAATCCTTCTGTACAATGAACAGCATTCAGCTATCATCCATGAGTATCAATACCAGTTTACTGAAAAGGTGACTATTGAATCCTGAGCCTGCTGGTAAAACACTAAAGATCTTAGATCAAAGCCAGACTCTGCGAGATGAACCCACATATGTAGCATTTCGACACTTGTAGGCCACAATAAGTTAGAGCATCGCTGATTCAAGGTGGTGATAAGAAACAGGTTAAGGTGGGGAAATTTACCGATGAGAAAAACATGGGTAGGCAGGCAGTGAGTTGTTTAGCGGAAATGAATTTCCTGTGGCTGGGATCTTTAAGTGTTCTCTTCTAATTTTAATCATCTCTTTTGATTCAGTAGGTTTCAGGGGCCTGTTTTGTCATCAGCTCTTTCTATGACTTTAAGAATCATTTGACATTTTTAGCTCGTGGCAGTTCAAAGCAGAAGGCAGAAGGCTTTCAGAGACAAAGGTTGTACAGAAAAACAGTAATAACCGTACCTCAGACTTTGCTCTGCAGCTGGTACAGAGTGTAATGTTAAGATAAAGATCACGATACACAACATTAATGACGTTCTTGGGGCCCAACTTAAGTCAGTGAGGTGTGAACAAAACTTCCTGTGTGCATACACTGCTGCACAGAAGGAGGAACATGCAGCAAAATGTACATTTGTGTGTTTGTCCGTCGTCTACGATAACACGCAGAGGTGACTGTACATAGTTAGTGTTGTTTATTTCGATTTTTCGCATTACAACAGCCTGCTTTTGCCTCTCATATAACAGTTAGGCACAAAGTATTGTAGCCGAACACTATAAAATATTGGTTGAACAAATCTTCACCGGGTAAGACTGAACAAGGTATAGGATCCACATCGCAATTTTTAACTGACAAGATATTAGTTGGCAAAGTTTTTTCCACTAAATTTTACTTTTGATTTTTTCTTGTTATAGTTAGCCCGTAACTAAAGATACTATGTTTATCATTTTAAATGATTTAGAATTTAAAATCCATCCAAATCAATGAAATCTATAAATATGCAAATACATTATTATCGAACACAAGATGTTTTCTACTTTGCTAAAAAGTGTGCGATTCTTCTGCGAACGTCTGTATTACTTGAAATAGATAAGGATTTTTACTTAAGTGAAAAAAACTTCTTTTTTTTTTTACCAAACAATCATTGTCAATTCAACTCAACTCAATATAAAAAACCCTTTTCAGCCTCTTTTCATGTAATACCATCTGTCTGAGAGCACAGGGCTGTAAATGAGCTAGATTCTTTTATTCAGTAAAAGTTATAACCGAATATAAGTAATAATACAAATGTTTTAGCATGAAAATACACTGAGACTAGGTAAAGCAAAAATACACATTTTGCAGAATCCTATACAGTACATATACATTTCCCACCAGGGAGGAAAAGCACAAGAAAGGCTGCACTTTCTCAGACAGCTGCGTCAGGCCCAATTACCCCAAAAACCGCTCCACCATCGAAAGCCTTCTGACTTACTGCTGCATTCACAGAGCTTTACACTGCATTTATAAACCACATTCATTACATTATAATGCAACTAACATTGCTACCTCTATTTATATAACTGTATTTATTATAGTAGCAACCAGCATTCCTACCCCTTACTCAATGTGCAGTACTGCTGATCACATTGCACCTTATACTCCACTGATCACTCACTTGCTCCTTACATTGCACCTGCTCATTATGTGGCATATATTTTTATATATAACTTATACATATCTATCGTTTTTGTGTAGATACTTATGTTACTGCTCTTCTTCTTTTTTTTATCTTCTTTTCCTATCCTAAAAGAATCTGAATGTAAATCTACATGTGTTTCATTGTTCTTGTAACAGTGACAATAAAGATCTATTCTATTTTATTCTAGTATGTGACTTGATTCTAATTATTGATTCATATATTCATTATTGTTTTTATAACTTAAATGTTGCAGCTGGAAGTGATTTTAATTACTTATACTATTGGGTAACTTTCTCTATAGTAAAATAGAATTATAGCAGATTCACATGTAAAAATCTGCAAAATAAGAAGTATTAGTATGGAAAACAAAGGACAACATTCACATCCAAAATCAAGCTGTAGGGCAGAGAGTAGAAGCAGAAAGCAGTGCAATACAGAAAAACTAAAACAGGAAAAGTATTAAGTTGCACTCTAAAGCAGGTTTCTATTAATGCTGTGATCCAGCTGCACTGTGTGAGATTAACAGCACTCTAGCTCTCTAGCTTTTCCTGTTCTGCCTTTTTGAAGCTTTTTATATTTTTGTGTGAGCTCCAAAGAGGAACAACGATGAGGTTTAACAGTCTGAACCTCCTGGGTTACGCATGCAAACACTCCCTGAACGGACTCCATCCTGTGGCTGGCAAATCAGTCTGTCATAAATCACTCATCAATCATATCCTAACTCTCAAACATCAGCACATTTTTCAGATGCACTACAGAAGCACTATATTAACCTCTTGTGTTAAAAACGTGTGCTAGAGAAGCTTAGAGGGTGTGAAGGTAAGGTAAATGGACTACTCATTCAGTTTTGGTAAAATTCTGATGGCACTGTAGATTATTGGAAAACAGGGCGATCTGAGTCACCACACGTCTCTCACAGAGCATGTGGCAGTTAACGCACAAAGGTTAGCTTGTTTACTCCTATGTCTTTTTATTTTCATTGTTCGTTTGTTTACTTCACCTAGATGTTTGAGCTTAACTGTGAACAGAATGAATGATCGTTTTTACAATAAGATGAAGCAGTTTTTAATTACGAACGTGACATTTCTTGTGACTCAAGCTTCAAACATGCTGTTTTTTTCCTCTTCCTTCATGTTCATGCTCATGTTTCCTTCCTTTAAAAACATGATTAAGATGTTATCTGAGAAATGTCCACTTTTATATTTCAGATAAGGTGAAATGTGTGAATTTTTAAATTTTATTTATTTTAGTGACGCAATTTGTGCGTCACTAAGTGCCTTTTTGATTTTTGCTTTCTACTTCCCTCTAAACTCGTTTTGGTTAAAAACAGCACCGAAATATGATATAAAAATATTATAATATTTGTGTTTGTAGGCTATAAATGGCAGAAAGCAGTATTTCTATTTTTTTTTAATGGACTGTGTAGGTCTTTTCTTCAAAACTGTTCGTTTACTTCTGACTTCTGATTTAGAATTTTTATTTTAAAAAACATTTTCCAGTCCTAGCGGATTGATTTGTAATTTTTCAGATCACACACAGTTCTTTGAAAGCATGAATAGAATTTGAATTTACAGCACACAAAGCCATCCCTGCTCTTCTTTTGAGTCACAGTCGCTTCTCTTGCTTTCTGTTGCCTCCTGCACTTCAGAGCGAAGCTGTTGTTTGAGCAGATACAACATCTTCGACTCAACAGTTCTATTTGTGGAAAGAAGAAGTACAAACAAGGCTGTTTCTGCATACTTCAGGGGACCTACCGTTTCTTGTCAGTCTATGAGTCCTATGAACTGTGTCACACACTGTGACCCCGCCCCTCCATGCTCAGTGTCAAAACTCCCCGACAATATTTCCTTCTCACACACGCTGGAGAGAGCAGCTACTGTGTGAATCATGATTGTGAATGGCAGAAGACTGTGGGTGTGAGGTTACGAAGACACCGTCTTGGTTTCAGTCTTTCAGACAGACCCGGGCGAAATGGCTGGTTGTAAAGTTCAGCTGGATTTTTCAGACTCTAGATGTTCTTCATGTGCAAGCCATCCATATTATATCATCCTGGGTAAGCGTCCTTTTTTTTAAAAAAATCTGCCTTTCTACTTGATAAACTTCTTGTCTTGGTACAGCTCAATCTTTCTGGAAGGATTTAAATCCATGAACATCTCTGTGATAACTCCTGTTGTTCACATTCAAGGTCTGATTCTTGTTCACTACGCTACACTCTCCATGCATTCTCAAGTAACTCAAGGTAGGATTACCACAACATTTCTAATAATTCATTGTCTTATTACTGTTCATATATTGGTTAGCGCTGTGTGTACTGCAATTTTCCAGCATTCTGATTCATGTGAACTTGTGGAGCATTTGTCTCATTTGGCACAAGATGAAGAGTGAATGACGGTAGTGGTAGTACTATATTTGCCCTACATTTGCACATTTAACCCAGAGTGTCACATGCCATTTATTTTAACCTTCATTCAGTCTAATACAACAACTCAGTCCAACAGAGTATTTCACTTCATCGATGAAATAACAACTTATAAATATGCTTTACACCACCATGATCACTAATGAAGAGAGCAGCAGTATGTCAGGCTCTGTTTACTGTACTGGACCCCACACCCTACATGTAAACTTCGCACTTGATCCTCCCTTTTAAATGATAACTATATCAGAGCACTTGCATGTTGTTTTGAACTTCCATCATACAGTCATGTTAAAAAAAAGAAAGTGCACCTTCCGTCAGTTGTACTTGTCAGAACGTAACAATAATTAAAAAATAAAATCATAAATCTAATTCTTAGCTTAATATCAGAGTTTTCTGGGGCACAAAAACAGCTCTTTTTACCATCAGGGTAATGCTGAACGTGTAATCTGGTCTGGAGCATATTATATTCAGAGTTTAGGTTTGAAATCATCCAACTGTGCCACATTATCTCTGATTGTTTTATTTGCAACTTATGTTTTAAGTGCAATGCAATTCTCTCTGCACGTGCAGCTTGTTAAGCTGTATTTTACTAAGATCGCACATGAAGCCCAGCTGTACAGTTACAGCAGTGCAAACGTCGCAGTCCCACTGGAGTTTGCATATTTAGATGAGATGCGCGTGCTTCAGTAACATCTATTAGATCAATGCTAAGGTCTGTCGTAAAATTAATTTCACTTAGATCTGTTGACCAACTAAAGCGAAGCCCCACGGTCGTTACTATTTAAATGGACCCACTTAAAGGTTTCAGAGGTCTAATGCGCAGCCATTATAAATAAACAGCAGCGTAGAGAGCGCACCCAGCAAAAAAAGTGATTAACTTGAATTTAAATGTTTATTTAATACTCTAAATGCACTAAATCCCACAATTCAGCATCCTTAACATCCTGCCTAATTTGCACCAATATCGCATTGTTCTGTTATAGTTTTTTGTGTTGTTTATAGATTTTTACCAGCATGTTATCTTCATCATCTGAGATGTGTTTGATTGGAGTAGACGCCACTCGTAGTGATCTTTTTGTGCGGTGCAAGAGTTAAATGAAATGTGCAACATCCCTTTTTATGAGAGCTGTACAGACCCTGAAGCAGAAAACCTGGGTTATCAGAGAAACTTAATGATCTGCATTTTCATATCCATCATATCTGACGGAGGTTTTAGCTTTTATCAAACCAGCTGACGCAAAGAAAAGAGAGACTGTGTCGAAATTCCCCCATGGTATAACTCTCAGGTCTTAAACTGAGGTAAATGCAACTGGAGGTGAACAAAAAAAATTACATGAAATGGAGAAACAATGTGTGAAAACATAACTACTGCTTACTGCTTCCATAGAAATGAAAGGGGATCATCACCAAGTGTGAGCACGTCTATAAAAGCAGATGTTTGGCAGTTTGCACAGTATTCTCGAGTCAAATGCAAGGTGATCTGTCGGACAGCTAAAGCTTGGCCCAACGTCAGTCATGCAGCAGCAGGGCGATGATCCCCAGGACAGCAGGAAATTTAGAGTGACTGAAAAAGAAAGGCTTAATGTGCTAAAACAACAATGTAAGAAGAGTGGACCAGAATTCCTTCGTAATGCATCGAGAGACTGATAAAGTCCCAAGCCAGGTGTACTTAAGGAAAGGAGGGAGTTTGTAATTAGTTGTCTTTGTTTGTCTGTCTGTCTGTAAGATATTGTTTTCAAATTTTGTGTGATGGTAGATGCCAATAACAGCTTACACTGCTTTAATTTGGCTGGGAAACAGGACCTGTAAAAATTGTATCATTAAAAACATCTACTTTTGTAACAATTTCTCATGAATTTACTAAATATTTTGTGTCACATACCATATTCATGTGCAGAGAAGTGCAAGGTAAACGAGATTTCTTCCAAATACGAGCATTGTGGACTTCACCCAGGTAAAGAAAACACATACTGGGTCATCCTGAGGTGACCCATAATCTTTGAAATCAGATTTGAGACAGGAAAACGTTTTTTTTCTTTCTTTCTTTCTGGTGACTGTGCACTGCCTCTTTTACAGATGGAGTCCGTGATTTGGACTGTTTTACTAAAAATCCATGGTCCAAATTAAGATGTATGTGGAAACCTGGAAAACACGCATCCAAAAATACACATATACTCATAATACAACCGTAAGTAGTTTTGTTTTTCCCTTTTTACCTTACAACCACACGTTTTAAAAATGCATATGAAAATGTCCTTGTTTGTAATTAACATCTTTTGTTTCTTCTTCTAGACAAAAAGGAAACTATTGCAGAGTTTATAAAAACATCAATAAATCTCGTGAAGAGATCACCTTCTATAAAAACCACTATGTGACCATTCAGATTTTTGAAAACAGTCAGTCAAAAAATTGCACCAAGGCAGTTTTTCAAGGTTCACCGGAGAGCCTGCGTAAGTAAAAAAATAAATAAATAAATAAATAAATAAAAATTTAAGGAGCAGCACTTTGTTTAAAATTTAAAAATTGATGAAATTTTGGGGATAATTTTCCTGACTGTTTCAGAGCGATGTGACCCTCCAAATTATGTGAAATTCACACGGCACTCTGGGAAACTGGACATAAATGTGAGCTGGGATCAAAACGATGTCAAGCATATCATGTCTTACTCTGTCAGATACAAAGCACTGGGAAGCCTTCAATGGAATGAGGTCAGTTATTTACTATACGATTGATATCAAAGTTTGCATTATTGCAGAGCACTACTGTTAAAGACCAGAGGGTTATCCACACGCGTGCACAAAACATCAGGAAAAAAAGAAAGCTGCTGGTCTTTAGCTTGCCCAGCTTAAGTCATTGTTAACAAAAGACAGACATGCCCAATGTTCCCTCTAAGCTGCGCACTGCTGCCACAGTCTTTGCGCACAAAAAAATCTGCGTTGCGCACAAAAAGAATCTAACCTGAATTAAAATTGAAACTAACAACTCTGTTTTGCAGTGTTAGTCAGAAAGTGACTGTCTGCTCCTGTATGGGATTAGAACGATGCCACCTTATCCCATAGTCCAGCCAATCACGCGATTTACATTCGTGTATACCGAGCTAATCAACGTCGTTGACAGGCTATGACAGCGTCCTTATGTGCCAACACCGGTGTTTTAGCTAGCAAAGCAGCGTGGCTGAGTGAAGCCACGTTAATGACAACGTGTAAAACCATTGGAGATGTGAGCAGGACCGACGGAGCAATTGATGGAAAAAGTGTGGACTTTATACCAGTTTTTAAATTGTGTTGATAGGCGACGTAAAACCAGAGTTATGATAAAAATATGCAATGTTTGGTTTTCTTCCTGAATACTGTCATTGTTTATATTTACTGCGGGAAGAAACGGTTAAATCGGCGTTTAAACATCGAAGCACTCTGCTTTTGAGCAAAACCAAAAAAAAAAAACCTCACCCTTTCCTGTCCGGTTGTTCAGTGATGACGTGACGAATCCTACTTCCGGGTCTAAAGTAGTCTGCGTTTAATATGGCTTTTGTGTTGTTAACATGTTTAATGTTATGTATTTTCTTCTATTTGATCTCAAAAAGCTCCTAAAACAGTCAGTGATCCCTGTTGACCTCCCTCGGCTTTTATTACCACTAATCATTTATTTAAGCTCAGTTTTTAAAACCTTAGGATGTAGCTACAGCCCAGCCCATGCAGCAGTATATGAATGACTAACCTCGTATTGTGGATGGATTATCTCAGTTGTTCTCCTGGCTGAAGTTTGGTCCTTTTACAGCATCCTGCCATGCGATTACATTTGTTCCTGACCACCGAGAAAAAGTTAGCTTGTTTATATTATGCTAACATAGCTGTGTCGCTAGCGGTCACGTAGCACATCATTATATACCAGCTAGCCCAACTTCAGTAACCCTACAAGCGTCACTGCTGTTTAGTTTTCTGTCTTCGTTTATGCTGGAAGTGATAACAGAGCTGTACGTTTTAATTTGTTTCCAAAACCCCGCAGTCAGGACATGCTATATTGTATTTAGATAGAAGCTAGCGAGCTAACTCCCTGCTAACTTCTAACTCCGTTAAATGTCATAAATTCTGTTTTCATGGATGCCTGGATGTTAAACTCAATTGTTACACCTGGTAGAGCAGAACGCTGATCATTTTATTAAAGATGAAAGACTTTAGACAGTTTTTCAACTCTCAGTAATGCCATAGTGATCGTTTGATATATGGACCTGCAGCGGAGTTTAGACCCAGACACGGCTAGTGACGTCAGACTGAACAACCGGATTGGTGGAAAAATGTACCATGTCGACCAATCAAAAATTATATGGCAACGTGGCATTTAGTTGTTTAGGAAGGGGGAAGTTTTAGGAGTGACAGCAGTGTTTTGAGATGTGAGAGATTTGCGACGTTTAGCGCAAATCTTGTGTAGTTAGTGTGTAGTGTTGTCAATAGTTTTGTTGTGTGTGTCAGAACAATGAGGCGACTGCTGAATGTTAAAGGTGTTACAGGAGTGATACATCTCCTGTTGTCAGGCCTGCAGGTATCAGGCTTTTGTTCTCCTTTATCTCATAGTGGACAGATATTATTTGCCACAAATAGTTTGTGTGGCATCAAATTTGATGCAGAACAGCTGATTGTTCTGTAAATAGTTTGAAATGTTTGTTTAAAAAAAACGCCTTGGCTGCATTTTTAGGTAAACAGCTGCAAAAAACTTTGTTGTTTGCAAAACTCAGTAACTTTTTTGGAGAAGTAACTATATAATTATTTACCCAACATTGGTCTTTATATACTGTGTTTTGCAGACGGAGAGTTACAGGACTCTCTCCCAGACCACAGACTCATAATACAAGTCAGAGCTTTATAATAAATAAATAAATAAAGTTGTGTTTTCAAAATTGGAGTTCAAGTTATTTTTACTTCCAATAGTGTTAACATACTACACAGGTCAGGAACAAGATTCTTTAAAATTTTCATTGTAAGTGGGCTAAAGCAGTTAATTAAAAGTAGTCTAACATAAATGTAAACGCTGTAATTTGATTATTTTAATAAACCATGTAACTTGGATGGATTAGATGCCGGCGTGACCACAGTGCACACGTCTGCTGTTGCTCACAGTGGTCCAAGGGATCGCTCAGGGAGTTTGTGCGTTCGCTCAGACACATGAGCCTATGACAGCTGGGATAGGCTCCAGCGCCCCCCGCGACCCTGAAAAGGATAAGCGGAAGCGAATGGATGGATGGATGGAGTTGGCTCAAGAGTTGGGAGTTCGCCTTGTAATCGGAAGGTTGCCGGTTCGAGCCCCGGCTCGGACAGTCTCGGTCGTTGTGTCCTTGGGCAAGACACTTCACCCGTTGCCTACTGGTGGTGGTCAGAGGGCCCGGTGGCCCCAGTGTTTGGCAGCCTCACCTCTGTCGGTGCGCCTCAGGGTGGCTGTGGCTACAACATACTGTAGCTTGCCATCACCAGTGTGTGAATGGGTGGATGACTGAATGTGTAAAGCGCTTTGGGGTCCTTAGGGACTAGTAAAGCGCTATACAAATACATCATTTACCATTTACCATAACAGAAGCAAATGAATAAATAGATAAAATTTAATTTAGAAAATCACAAGCCTACAGATATTTTATAGAGCTTGACTTGAAAAAGCAAATATGGCACAGCAGTGCATTCAGAGGGCAGTCTGCCTGGCTAAGACAGGCAGTTTTTTTTTTACTTTTAACATCTTGTACATAACTACTGTTTTCTTCTACTTTGAAAATCTAACACACACCATGCCTGTCTTTGTATTTGCTCTTCGGGTCTTTTCACCATTGACAGTTTTCCATCACTATACTGTATTAGAGTGAAAGAGGCATTCAAAAGCAGGTTTGAAATGTAAACAACATCTGAAATAGCTGAATCTTAGATTTGCCTTTAAAGTGCAGCATGATCTGAGCTGGACTTTTATGATTTCGAAACACTGGTGCTTTCCTTTCCGATGCAGTATTATCCATAATAAAGGATTAAAAAAACAAAACAAACATTGATAGACAGCAACTCTCATAGACAGACACATTTATCTGAGGGAGACAAAAAGTAGCCTACGTCTAAAGGTCTACGTAAAGATCTCCGTGAAATGAGTCAGAGCTTACCAACTGACGTTAACTGCCCACACTTTAGTCATGTAACAGTTAAAGTTGCCAGATGATGAGATTATGTCTAACTGAAAGTCAAATTTCTCTGAAATATGGTCTCAGAAGCTTGAAAAGAAAATCGACTACCATGAGCTGGGTTATTTTTGCTTTGCAACATTCGCTCTGATTGTATTTCTCTTCCAGTCTAATTTTAAATCACAGCAGCTTTTATATCAATTTCTGCTAAAGAAAACGATCCATTTTAAATCCAGCCTGAATCCTTACTCACACTCTGGAAAGTACACGGTGAACATTAGGTATATTAAGGAATTCATTCAGGTAATATACAAATTACCTGAATTACTTGTAACTGCAGGCGTACTTGTTTTTCCAAACTTTAGTTCTTAACCTCTTTCTGGAGGCATTCTGATCTGCTCTCTGTGACTTTGTCGGCTTGCATTTTTGCTCTGAACCAGTTTCTTCCACTATACTCTACAAAAAACAAAACAGATGTTTATTTCGGATACTTCCCTAACGCACACACTGATTTCTGTGCTGCTTGCAGTCACCTGGAATGTCCCAGAATAAAACTACATGCAGAGTGGAGAATCTAAACTCCTCAGTGGCCTACGCTCTACAGATACACTGCATCACCAATACTAAATGTACACAGTGCCCATGGAGTGAAGCTTACACTGTGCCATCAGGTTAGTGTTTGCTTTCTACTTTGTTTTTCTCCTAAAACCGGATAAAGGATTACCTGCTTATGTTCGAAGTAAAAAACCAAAAACAACCCAGTTTGCTCTTTCAGAGGTGACATCACAGCCGGTCATCGTCAACTTTAAAGAAACTGATGTCGCCAATGAAAAGGGTACTCGCCTTGTTTCAATAACCTGGAAGGTAATTTTTCTTCAAAAACATCTTCTGAGAACATGCTATTAAACAAAAAGCAGAATGTAGAAAACACTCAGCAGCCACTTCATTAGGTACACCTGTTTTAATGTTTGCTCGCAAAAAATGTCGAATGTGACAATCGCATGGAGCAGCAGTTCTCTGGGATAAAATGCCTTGTTGATGTCAGAGGGGAATGTCCAGGATCCTCTGAGTAGATTGTAAAGCAGCTGTAACTGAAATGCTCAGTTGTTACAACCACGGTATGCAGAAGAGCTCTTCTGTGAGGCTTGAAGCAGTTGTGCTAGCAGAGGACACCGGGTGATATTTCTGTCAGCTGGAAACAGGAACCTGAAGCTACAGTTCACACAGGTTCAACAGAAGATTGGACAAATGCTGCCTGGTCTGATGAATTTCAATTTCTGCTGTGATGTCACAATTTGCTGTAAGCAACATGAAGGCATGGGACCATCCTGCCTTGTATAGATGTTTCAGGCTGCTGGTGGTGTAATAGGGTGGGGAATATTTTCTTGGCAGGCTTTCGGCTCTTAATGGTTTCTGGAACATGATCTCAAACCAGACCTCAATCCAATAGAGCATCTTTGGGATGCACAGCCAACAAATCTGCAGTAACTGTGTGATGATGTCATGTCGACATGGACTAGAATCTCTGAGGTGTGGTTCCAGCACCTTGTCGAATCTGTGCCATGAAACATTAAGGTAGCTTTGAAGGCAAAGGGTGGGCCAACCCGATACTAGTAGCTGGTGAATGTAAATGCAGCGATTAGTCATAGCTGCTTGTTTTGATAATAAACTGTTTTTGATTGTTAGGTTTCTGCCAGAGACCTGCATGATGGCTACATCGTGACCATTGGGAAAGAGTCAGGAGAGGCCCCAATTGAGCGGATCGACACCATTCAGCCCAGCATCACACTGATTCTCTCCTACTCAGCTTACAGTGTGAGCATCCAGTCTTTCAACAACGTCAGCATCTCTCCAGCTGTGAGCCATATAATACCCCTCCGCGAAGACATGGACAGTCAGTACTCATTTCCATCCTTACAGCTCTCTTAAAGGTGTCGTTTTCACCACAGATCTGAACAAAGTATACATCCACAGGTATGGGAGATGATGAGCTGAACGTGACAGTCCACAATAACACATCCTTCAACATCTACTGGAAAGACTTCCTTCTCAAAAAATACGTGTGCTATTGTGCGGAGTGGAGGGAAGAGAAGACTAAAACAGCGTACAAGTCCTTTTACCTTAAAGGCAAAAACTACTATACTTTCTCTCTTTTAAAAGGTATGTTAATATGATGAGTTTTTGGTCAGCACCGTTTAAATGCAATTTGATTTGACTTGCCTAAATGACTTTATACACAATACTGGATTGATATTGGACAGCAGAGATCACTGCATGTTGTCAGATTTAGCTGGGAAAAACACTTTGGATATGGCTAGGGAAAGCTTTTAATTCGGTTAAAGTTAATTGTAAGTATGCAACTATGGCCCAAATGTTTCAAGCATATGTTTCTTTATAAAACGTGTATACTACTTCCATAACATTGTCCACTGATTTGTGGACTTGAGTTTAAAGCTTCTGTGTTAGAAAATGTACTGTCCCAATCTGTATTTATTTACTTATTCTAGAGCTAGAAAAACTGATTAGGTACTCGCATAGATACCTGGTATGGCTGTAGATGTATGTGTCTCCTCCTGCAGATACCTGTTAATTAGAGCTATGCGTAAATAAAATAATACTAGAGCTTGGAACTTGAACACTGAAATAAGCGTTTGTGTAAGTGCTAAATCAGCTTCAAAACCAAACCTGTCAGAAGTCCATTGCAGAGGTCTGTGCAACTGACTAACGTTCCTTAAGTGGCTTAGTGGAAGTTACTGTTAGCTTTCAAGTCACTGCTGATTTTTTTTCCTGTGTTCAGCCCAATCAACAAAAGCTAATCTGCTGACTTTACAAGTTGATTGTGCAAGATTAGTCATTCTGTTTTGTTTGTCTGCCCTTAAAAAAATAAATATCAGCTAATATAATGGATTGGATTTATATAGCGCTTTTCAAGGCACCCGAAGTGCTTTTACAATGCCACTATTCATTCACACACTGGTGGAGGCAAGCTACGGTTGTAGCCACAGCTGCCCTGGGGCAGACTGGCAGAAGCGAGGCTGCCATATCGCGCCATCGGCCCCCCCCGGCCAACACCAGTAGGGTAAAGTGTCTTGCCCAAGGACACAACGACCAGGACAGAGACCCCGGGGATCGAACCGGTGACCTTCCGGTTACAGATACGCTTCCCAACCCCCTGAGCAACGGTCGCCCCCATATATTGGAATGCTGGATTTTTAAATCACCACATACCAGTACAGATTACAATCTGTGTCTATATTTTGGACCCATACAATGGATGTATGCCGCTTGCTGACCAGCTTGGAAGCCAAATTTGGCACTCCACCCCAAACCTGGCTCCAAAACACTAACATGGTGGAAACTTGAAAAGATATATATATATATATATATATATATATATATATATATATATTATATATATATATATATATATATATATATATATATCTACTTGCTTGTGAACACTTGAGTTGCTTTGCAAATGTAATAAATATATTTCGTTTTCTTCCAGCGATCAATCATAATTCATTTGATATCTCAAATATCCAGAACCCTTGAAGCCTTACAAGAGATACACCGTCAGTCTGCACGTGCGACCGAATAAGGACACCTGCAACATGAAGCATCTTAACAACAGCGAAGGAACGTTTGCAAGCACAAAGTTTTATTTCATGGAAGGCAGTAAGGCACAGGCACTCTTCTCCAAAACAAGCAGACACACATACATTACAAGTCACCAACAAAACACTCTGACCTCTTGAAACTGCTTTCCCGTGTCATTCTTAAAGCTCCTGTGAGTGGTCCCGCAAACATCAGCAGTTACAATTTGACACAGAATTCAATGGTGCTGCAGTGGTCATCCATCCCAGAAGAAGACACCAGAGGCTTCCTACTGGGTTACACAATCCACTACACTGAGAACCACCTGAGGGGAACAGAATCTGAGAACAGTAAGACACCTCCACTTACTCCATAAGCTTATTCATAAACTGCTGAATTTTGTTGAATATAATAATAGCACTGGCATCACATCCACTGGTTGCTCTACAGCACATGCATCATCCTCACTGAATTTCCTGTTTGTCAGCTACTTTGTTTACTCTTCTCAGTTTTCCTGAAGTTAATGAATGCTGTAATCACACTGCAGTTTTTAGTCTTGATTTTAATGACCTCATACACTACTTGATGTAGCTATGACATCATAACCTAATTAACTCTCTGGATAGGACTAGTTTGTCAAGATGGCTGAGCAACCTAAAGATAATCTACTATCAAATGTTACTGTTACATTATTTCTTTCAAAAGTCTTCCACTCACGTATTAAAATACTCCAAAATCATTTGACAGGAAAGCTATTCTAACACCGCTGCTGCTATTTCAGCAAGTGAATATGCTCATGATGACAATATTTTCATATGATAATACTAACATACTCATAAAGACAACACTAACATGTTCACCATGACACTGCTAATATGCTATGCTCATAATGATAATGCTAATATGTTCATAATGTCAATGCTAACATGTTCACAATGCTAACGCTAACATGCTTATAATGTCAGTACTAACATGCTTTTAATGTCACTGCTAACATGCGCATAATGACGATGCTAACATGCTTGTAATGTCAATGCTAACATGCTCATAAAGACAATGCTAACATGCTAATTATGACAAAAACTCATTTTGATTGCAGACATTACAGTGGATCCAAATGTTAACAAGTATGAACTAAAGGATCTTACAAGTGGCACAACATACCAAGTCCAGATATCAGGTTTCACCTCTAAAGGAACAGGAAAACGAAGTGAACCCAACTTTTTTACAACGACTCAAGAAGGTCAGTCAAGTAATATTTCAACCATCAACTGTACATATAATTAAATTTCTAATTTTTTATTTGTGCCTTTATTTATTTATTTGCACAGGAAGTTTTAAATTCACTAGTATTATTGCAGCCATTGCAGTTTTGGCTGCTGGACTGATATTTGGACCACCAATAATAAAAAGGTACAACTTGTCAACCAATAGCTGGAACAGGATTCCACCAAAGTCGCTAATTAGGTATGTCTGTGCACAAGCTTTACCTTAACCATTCCTTTAATGCTTTTTAGAGCAAAAGTTGTCCTCTGGCCAAGCATACCTAATCCTGGAAAGAGCAATACAATGCAGAAAATAGACAGGCCCTGTGAACTGGTAAGTGTCAGCTGTGACAAAGCACACAGTTTTAATGTTGTGGAAACCTAAAACAACCTGAAACTTATTTTAGGGGACTGCTATTATAGTCCCAGTGCATCAGATGAAATATGTTGTATAAAATTAAATACATCAGTGTGTCATTTGGTTACATAGGAACTCCTTGAGGTAATCAATACTCTGAAGGCTGAAGAATGGGAAACAAAAAGTCTCCATATAATTGAGAAAGAAGCTGTCGGCCCTGCCACGATATTGCCAGCAATGCTACCGCTTCTTTGTGGCTTAGACAAACGGGGAGATTCACCAGGAATTACTTGTAACTGGATCCAAACAGAGACAGATGATGCAACTGGCAATACATCTCCCAACAATACTACAGACACATTGTTGGAAACCCAGCAGACAGACCTACAAAGTTTTCCTTTTCCCTTTCCAAGTGGCTATACCACGATGGAAATGTTTCAGCACGTAATGCCACAGAGCATCACTGCCGTTACTCAAGACATGGAAAGTGACCCAGAGGACGCAGACCTGACTGTATTCAATCCTAAGCCAGGACTGGACTATGTAAGACAATTTAGCACCAGTCCAGTCTCGGACAGTGACCACTTGTCCACTATTTTGTGATGAAGGTCAAACTGCAGAGCATAAAGAGGAAAAATCACTATGTGAACAACTTAGTCTAAAAGGCCAAAGTAAGAACTGCTGCCCCTGACTGTTTCTGCTGTGGCTTATGAAGAACAACAATTCAGTTTACCAACAACATGGATTCATTTGGCTAATAAAATCAGCAGAATTACCAAGACAGTGTTTACATCACATTTATGTAAAAAACTTAACCAAAAGAATGGCATGCCAGTTGTTAGAATTGGAGTAAAAAGACAAAACATCCTCCCAAAAAGTGCACTTAACCATTACCACGGTCAATGAATTAGCTATTAATATACTGCTGCATGGGCTGAGCTGAAGTTACATGGTAAGGTTTTAAAAACTGAGCTTTAAAATGATTAGCGGCAATAAAAAACAGAGAGAGTCCGACAGTGATTACTGACTGTTTTTAGGGGCTTGTTGAGATTAAATATAACAAGATACAAAGCATTAAAACATGTAAAAAACACAAAGGCCTTATTAAACGCAGAGTCGTTTGGGCCCGGAAGCAGGATTCATGACGTCATCACTTAAAGACCGAATAGAGGTAGTTGTGCAAAATCTTGTGGCCTTAAGTCATGGGGAAAAAAGGCACCATTCACCAGTTTAACACACAAAAACATTTTCAAACTTTTTGAAGGCTGTTCATTGTCAGCTGGTCTGAAATGTTCAATCAGTGGCTGTTCTCATAATGAAGACCTTACTTTACGTCACCCTTTTGCAGAAAGCCTAAACAAAGCTTAGCAGTCTACAACCATAAGGTGTTACTTGAAATGCTTGTCTTAGCCATGCCGACCTTTGCTAAATCACAATAAATGGAAGGTATGACTGTGGCTTATGCGGTTTTCATCATGTGAACAGATTACTTTTACTTGGAAATAAAGAGCTCTCTTGCCCGGCATCTTTTGAGGAGCATGAATGTCTAACAAATTTTGTGCCTTTTTATCTCATTGAAGTTGGGGTATGTCACAGCAGAGGTCAGACGTTTGACCGGAAGACAAATGGTTGAAGCTCAAGGTGTTCACTTTGGTCAGACACTATTCAATTAACAGAGATTTCTAAAGGCAGATCATATATCGCACACACAGATGAGTGAAAGTGTTATCCGTAAATATGAATTGTTGCTACTCTTTCAAAGCACAGATAATAATATAACTGGGCCCATATCGAGAACTGGTGGTGCACCACAGTCAACACAAAGCCCAAGTTACAAAATCAAACAAAATTAGTCAATGAAAAATCTCTTTTATTGAGTGTTTTTGGAAACGGATGTACTGTTAGATTTGAAATTAAGAGGATTTATACATGAAAGCTCTTCAAAAACAGTGGCACCACACTTTTACATAGAGTCCAAAATCCAGCATCAAAGGACCACTCCTCATGGACTGAACCGTCAAACATGTTTATACATAATATACCTTCAGAAGTGGGTAAATGTTTATAAAAATAAAATTCTTCACATACTGAAATACTTGGATTTTTAAAACTACATTTTAAGATGACCACTTCAGACTGAAGATTTGTTTTGTTTTTTTAAATTGTAAAAACAAAGTAAGAAAAAAAAAAAGGCAGAAGGCAGGACAACAAAATACAAGCAATCATAAAATCAGGTCTGTAAAATCCAGCAAAGAGGAATTTGGCCACACACAGCCATAAAGTATCCTTTTAAAAACACGTTCAAAAAACAGAAAACACACATACACAAAGTCACATAGATCTCAATCTGGGGCCAGCTTGCAAAATCTCGACCGAATAAACTGAAATAGTAAAAATTGAGAAAAATAGGTCTAGGTCTACTTAATTATTAGTATACTCTGTAACGAATTAATGAGGACAGCTAAAACTTTAATATAATGTCTCGATAGTTTTCAACATCCTAAACAAGTCTCCATATTTTTTCTTAGTGTAGGCACTTTTTGGCCCTAATGTGCTTACATGCAGTTTGTGGACCTTTGACGTTTCCTGTTCAGTCTCTTCTTGGCTGCTTCTGAGAACTTTAATCGCCCCACTTTCTCCAGTAACATCAGCTGACAGACATTTATAGCACATCACCATTATTTTACAGTATAGGCATGTGACTTATATACAGTATAAAACAGTATATAACTTTTTTTCTCCTCACACAGTATTAGAACAATAGCAGGACGTGATACTTTGTGACCTTGTTGCAACTGCTAACCAGAAATAAAAAAAGTGATTCAATGATGTACAACCAAATGAGTTCACTGTTCACAGCATAAGATAACACCGTTCTCTAATATTGTCACTATGCTACTTCAAGCCATAAAATTAAAATGCAGTTTGCAGGTTGCAACCATTCCCGGACCATAAAACAAATATGGTGCAAAAAGGGGACTTAAAGGTAACTTCACTGACATCACAGCCCACATTTTCCTTCACCAACATACAAAGGGGCAAATGAACTTTTCAGCATAAGCAGAAATGTTATTTTAAACTCAATATTCCTCTAAGGGACTTTGTGTTTATCCATTTCCTGAAACATCACATATATAATGTGCCATTGCTTCACTTAGTGAAAAGGCAAAAAAAAAAACCAAATATGGGAAGTTTCTCGCACAGCCATTGTGTGACCACAGCCAGCGCATTAAAAATAATGGGAAAAACAAGCCAGACTGTGTACAAGTCTGTGGGGGAAAAGAATTAGAGTTAGCTGCTTTAAGGTAGGCCTAGCTTCTAATTAACCAGTCTCTAGTGTAGGAGTGTAACCTTCAGTTTCTTACTTGCATCGCCTTCTTGCTCACCATGTCCTGTTTAACAACACCAACATGATGATGACAGAAAGACTCAGGTTGAGGGTCTAAGATGGGATTTCACGCTATTTTTTTTTTTTTAATATTCAGATTATGGGAACCCTGCTTTCACTCTGGCTCTCACACAGGACAGGCATGCAACGAACCCTTTATGTTCCTCACTAAACAATTTAAGACAAACATTTGACTCCTGCTGCAGATTGTTGCTGCTTATTTTTACTTCAAAACGTTTTTGAAGTACTCAACTTTACAGTTAATAAATATGTAAATATGTGACAGTCACAAATAACATATCTAGCTTTAAATGAATCGATAAATGAGTATGACCTCTATTCCTCATCTGTGTATCTGGAATGTGACCAACCTTCCTGGAAATGCGGGAACATTACAGTACTACTATACTAGCTGTCAAAAGTTTAAGAACCTATACCATAAGGACATAAAAGCAGAAGAAGAAGAAGAAGTTGTCAGTGGAATAGCTAAGCAGAAAAAGTGTGGCCTTCTCTATGATGCTGAGCACTCACTTGCCCTTAAGGTTTGATAGTGAGATTAGGCTGACTTAGAGGAGCCATGTGTGTCACCAGTCAGGGGATGATAATAGGAAAGAAAAAAAAGTAAGATGCCATTCAGTGCTTCTGTATGTACACACTCACGCACACACTCACGCACGTACACACACACACACTCACGCACGTACACAATGGGCAATAAGATACCTGGATGAACAATATTAGTGTCCATGGTGTTGCTGAAGTCACTTTGCACCAACATATGCTTCCTCCTCGTGGTTAGTCTTGTAGCTGCCGTTATGCTGGGCGCAGGGTGATGACGTCATGTCCTCACTTGGTGTGGCTGAGCCTTCTCTGTCACTTTCTTCCTTTCCTTCTCTGACATACCTCGCTTCAGCCTGAAATGGCAACAATGAACGATCAACTTTGACCAACAAAAATATTCAAAGAGAAAAACGCTCAAGTGCAGGAAAACTATGCTGTGCACATTAACAATTATTTGATACTTCCATCTTTTTCAAACAGGAGTTTATCTGACAGTTGTAAACATCAAGTACTTAAGCTTATAGTACAAATATGTACCTAATCTCATACTAATTGATAATAAAAATTAGTATCTGGAATAAGCTGAGGCATCCCCTCATGTTGTCCAAGATAAGGACAATTTTGGACAATACCTCCCACCCAACATGCTGGACAGCCACAGGAGCATGCTCAGTGAAAGACTGATTTACCCAAATGCACCACTGAAAGACACAAGAAATGATTCCTGCCTGTGGCTCTCTCCCTATACAACTCCATCTATAATTACACCCTTTTGCACATGCTCTACAGTGAAAATAACAATGTTTTACAGTTTACAGTAAAATGTCAATCATATATATTTAATCTCTGTAATATTCTGCATATTTATAATTGAGCTTTCCGTATATATTAGAGCTGTTTCTTAGATTTTGTAACTTTGTAATATATTACATTTAGTTCAGTCTGTTACTGTTCTTATCGTCTTGGAGCAACTGTAAATAAATAATTTCATTAAACTATTCTGATTCTTGTGCTTTTTGTTATTATGTCTGCTTGCTAAAAATCAATATTTCACTCCTGTAACAGCCTGCATATCATCTGGAATACTGGTTTAAATCTGGTTTGCGTAACTTTGCAGCAATCAGCACCAGAGCTAAGAGCTCTGATGTTACTTGGAACACATAGGTCAAAGGGAGGAAGAGCAGAAATGTTAATCAAGATGCATTGTATTTTTATAACAAGTTTTCTTTTCTTTTTTAAATCAATATTTTTACCAGCTTCACTGTTTATTAAATTAACAGTGACTGTGTTGATTCTGGTTGCAGTTTCATGTAAAAAGCTGTTAACCAAAATACGTGACAAACCCATACGGATGCTGCAGCTCGTCTTGCAGAAATGATGGTGGTTTTTGAGGAGAACATTTGTTTGGCTGTTACTTGTCAAACAAATGTTCAGATTGTTATCAACAGAAAGGCTCAAGTGTCACAAATCTAAATCACCTTTTATCTCTTGGCTATCATTTGGGGGATCTATGTAGTAAACTTCAGAAGTAGGACAGTCGTGTGGTTTGATACTCAAGTTGGAGACGAATGGAAACATTCACTTGTGCTGGTGTGAATGACATGCAACAATGCCACTACTTTTGAGGTAGAAACTATTCAGAATGGGACTTTCAGAGTGATCTGCAAACCAAAGTGTGCTGAGAACTAAACCATACAGCAAAAGATTGATGTCACATACCAGAAAGACGAAGCTCGTGCATGCAAGTTGTATTATTAAATGCTTCCAGGCCTATGGATCTGGAATAATTAGATAACTCCAAGTATAAGCAACATAATGTGCACATAACTG